TTTTGCTTTAATTTTTAAATTTCTTTGTGGTTTATTATTCATGAAATTAAATTAATATGGATGTGCATGAATTAATTAGAATCAAACTTCCAGTTTGTTTATTTATATAATTTTTTTAGATTTCATATTTTATTAAGTGCAAATACAAAGTGTAAAGCAACAATGAAATGAGAAATCGAATTTAGAGTAACACAATCCCCAATATAGGAAAAACTCACATGCTTCCAAACTTGAAGAAACAATTGAAAAAAAAAATAAAAAATTCCGCGAGGAAACAATTTTTGCTTCTATTCTTCATGCTTTGAAATAATTGGTCACTATTTTATTAATTTATGAATTTGCAACAAATCGAGAGTATAGTTATACATTTAGACTATGTCGTAAAATCCAATAGTGGAATAAAAGATAGAGATATAACTTTATTATTTTTGCGGTTTTTTAAAATCTTAGGTCATTTATTGCTTTTAGTTGAGGCTTATTCGAATTCACAAAGATATATACTGAGTTGACTCAGCTAGATATGATTTTAATATTAATTTTAACCAGAAACATTGCCATCAATGTTTATTTTCTCAAAATAGGAGTTAGATATAGTTAGAATAATCATAAATAGATTGTCCATGTGGAAACGATAGTCCAATTCTCTAGGTCTACTTTACTTCTTGCTTGATTAAATTCATGCACTTGCGATTATACCACAATTAGTTTTTGGAGTCCCTGTCGTGATCTATATTTTATTTAATATTGGTTTAGATTACATTTGATTTATTTGTTTCATTATAAGAAAAAATGTGTTTGTTGTATGCTCCCTTAGCAAGGTGATTATTTGAATCATTAGACTCTTAGGTTGGATGTACTTTCAGAAGAAGATGCAAATAACACAATAAAAACCAATAAATCACTATGGTGGACGAAAAGTTCGATTGGCCGCTTTACAAGATGTTGCCAGAGCAGTTGTTTTAGAGTGAAACAGATTCAGCTGTCACCTACCTTGTTAGTGTCATCGACGGACCTAGGGGTGGCCTGGGAGGGCACGTGCTCCCCAGGATTTTGGGAATTTTTTTTAAACGAAATGAAAATAAAGAAATTAACCCTAGTCCCTAACTTCTTCATTTCTCCCGTCGGGGGTGGTCAAAAAACCGACCGACCCGACGAAATCGACCCAAACCGCCCGGTTTGGGTTGGTTTTTTGCATTTGTTGGGCGGTTTTCGATTTTCGGGTGGGGTGGTCGGGTTGGGTCGGGTCGGGTCGCGGGTTGGCACCATGAACCCAACCCAACCCGACACGAAAATTAAAAAAAAAAAGGAAAAAAATGA